AGCCAAAGTTGTCAAAGACTAGCACTTTAAAAATTAATTTAAGAAATGTTAAATCATACGATTTTGATGCCTTTTTAAATGTACATTTCTTACCATCCAAGTTCAGCGGGCATGCAATAAAGTTTATTTTGCCTAAGAAGAAAATATTAATTAAAATAGTTAATGACATTACTGAGTTTAAGATTAGGTACTTTATAAGTGAGGAGATTATAGGTATACAAGGACAATATATTTCAAATTGTGTTAATTTTTTTAATCTCCAATACAATGTAAATATTAGTAAGTGCTTTTAAAACATCTAATATCGTAGTTTGATATTTTTAAAAATATCATGTATAATATTTCCCACAAGTAATAGTCACTTTGATATTAAGTTTTTGAATTAGTTATCAAGTTTATTAATTTTTTCTCTGTATTCTGGAGTATATATAGGAATAGGGTCCTTCCAGACAGCTCCCGTCTGGTAGCTGCTGTTGCTATTGCTGTTTGCTCTCGTTCTCGTAAATGTAAAAGTTGCAACTTGTAGCCTCAAAATAACCACAAAGTAAACACCAGAGTGGCGCAGTCCGGAGTCCGTGGTCCGTAGTCCGTAGTCCGTACTCCATGGTCCGTAGTCCATGGTCCCGGAGTTCCTGAGTGGCTGCTTGGCTGCTTGGCTGTTTGGCTGTTTGGAAGTGCGGGAGGGGATCGACTATTTGAATAGCCGGGACGAAGACACTGCGTGCTGGCACACTATTGCAGACATTGTACGTGGGAATGAGGACGGGACACGGCGATGGTGCGTCGATGTCCTTCGAGGCAGCTCAACCGACCCGAACTCAGCTGAGCTGAGCTGGTCAAAATAAACAAGTGTGTAATTTAATATTTAAGGCTATGTCAGTAATTATTTCAGCGCAGATGGCGAGACATTTCCTTTGTCGTTGCCAGGAAAACTGGGAAAGGTAAGTGGCTGGAATATAGGGTCTCGATGGTCCCGATCGTATGCACTCCAAGTGCTGCTGCTGCTGCTGCACTCATAGCACTCATAACTCAAGGATCGCAGCTTGTAGCAGGCAGCCTCGTTAAATTGACCCACTTGCCTCACATTTGTCTTTATTAAATGGGGGAAAATTACGAGTTCACAAGCGTATAAATTATAAACCAATTTAATAACCAGCCAGGCACAAAATGTGCTCAAAATGAACTACCAATTTGCGGAGAACAACGGAACGAAACATAATAATGGCTCTGGGTGAGCGTGAACATGAATTACGGGTACCAGGGTTTAGATGGGTGAAGGGGAGTACTTGGCATTAGATGGCCTTTAAGGGAGGAGGGGAGGTGGGGAGGGAGTTTCCCTCCTTGGGGAAACACCTGTACGAGCTATCCGGTTGCGCCCACTCTTTTATTCCCTGATATGTATGGATTCCCCTTAACTTTTCACTCTGAATATGCGCATAGTTTAAGCTTTGTAATTATTCCAGCATTTAGTTTAACATTTTGCCACGCCCACACCATCGCCCCTCATCCTCAACGTGCTATGGAAACGGTGTGCATTTCCCATCTTATGGCCCCGGAAAAACTCCAGTTCGCTGTATGCGCGTGTTAAAGTGAATTTCAAATGATTTATTGCACATCCAACCAGACCACTGATACTACAAATTCTACAATTACAGGGCACACATCCATCCACCCATCCACCCCTTCAGCCACCCACCCATTCAGCCACCCATTCAGCCACCCCATGTTCCTGACCTTACCCTTACTTATCGTTATTTTTCCCGACGCTTTTCCGGCAGTTTTTTCCCCGCCTCGTTAGCATGTTAATTGTAAAGCGTGTTCTAATTGCATTTTAGCTGCGTAAATGAGTACGGTTTTTTTTCGGTTTCTAAAACATTAAGTCCGGTGCTTGAGCAATATTAATATTTTTTAGAATTAATTATTATCTTGGTATCAGCATATTGCTTGGATTTTTAAGAAACCCTATGTCAAGGTGCCAACTAAGCTCTATATTATATATAAGTATTACAAAGCTTATCTTTGAGCAAAAAAATTGTAAGATTTTATTTTTTTCAGTTACTTGAATTTAATTCGTCCCTTAGATTAGGTTGTTTTTTTTCTTAATTTACTTTAGATTAGTATAAAAATAAAATTAGACGAATGGATTTATTTGTAGGTATTTTATTTTAAAAGCGTTATTGAGTGACTTAAAGTTGATTTCAAACTTATACAGGGGAATATCACTCATTTACGGCTTGCGAGTACTTGCAACTTATACAGGGATTGCTCTCCTATCGAGCAGCTGAAGTTCGAGTGAAAGTAGAAAGTGGAACCCATTGGGGCGGCTAGGTTGCATCAAACCAGATAAATTTCGAACTCAAACCTTGTTTGAAACCTCTTCAATGCCCCACCAGCTTGCAACTCTAACTTAATACACGACCTATTCAAACAGGTCTGAGTTGACATCGAACACTACATCGAACACTACCCTTAACTGAGCTTCGAACTTTGCAGAAATGAGTGCAAGCCCGAGCTAAAAACAAAAATGAGGGGGTGTTTGAGCCATTAATTGAGTCAATTTTAAACGATTCACGATAATTTTTAATTATGTTGCATAATTTGATAAATTAATAAAGTCATTAAAACAAAAAGTCACCAGGGAAGCAAAAAGGTAAACAAAACCGAAGTAAACAAATTGCCAACTGCAATCGAAAATGGCATCAATCAGGCAGCCGGACCTCTATGGTGAGGTGATGGTAATATATTTATGGGCCAGATAGACAGGATGGGTGGCGAATAGCGTGGGGATGGTCTCTGGGGGGTGATGGCATAAAAAAGGTCGTCACCAAAGCATAAAAATAAATTGATATCACAGCGAATTTGAATGAGCAATATGGTGTTCCTGCTATTTTTCCTGCCCTGCCACTCGTTCATATATCAGCGCCGGTTTTTTTTGCCATGAATTATTTTTCCCGCTGCATGTGAAATTTTGGCCAAACAATTGCCAAGCAGCAAGTGCACAGAGAGAAATGTTGATAGCCTAAGGATTGTAATAAAGTGGTGTTTTTTAAGAGTGCAATAAATTGATTGGTTCTCATTATCATCATCAATTTGTGGTTTAGTAAAGTAAAATAAATTAAATAAAAATGTAAACTTATCAATTTCTTTTCTGACTTTTTTTTTCTGTGCAATCATGGTTGTGGAATGAATATGATGCATGAAATAACAATAATGAAATGACAACAAAAGGCACCGATAACAAAAGGATTGCCGGCGAGAAAGATACGGATGCGTGGGAGATAGAGAGAGATAGAGAGAGAGGGGGGAGATTTCAGATGGAGCAGCATGACTTTGGCAATTCAAAATCAAATGTGATTTTTGGTCACTTTGAAAATTGTTGATTAGTGACGCCTGAATGCAGCCCAATGAAACCGGGGGCCGCTGCATTAAAGCAATTTCAAGATCTCCACCCGCCTGTCACTCAACTGCCGGAATCCAAGGGGGCAGTACTTGGGAAAAGGGCAAAGGGTTAAGGGTAAAGGGTTAAGGGTAAATGGGTTAAGGGTAAATGGGTGGGTGCGATGGTCAACTGGACATGGATCTGAAAGTGCAGCTCAGCCAGGCGTGCGCTTGGCACACTACTCCACCAATTGACGGGGCTAAAAAATAGCACACACACAAATAACAACAACTGACCTGCGTGTGTGCAATTGCATTTAAACAATTAAAGCAACATAAATTAAAAATGTGGTTAAGCGACGGTCACCGCCAACAGCGACAAATTGCATGTAGCAGTGGTAACTAGAACCACATCTGCCACGCCCACCCATCAGTTGCCATTAATTCGAGCATATTAATTTCGATCCACATGCCAGTTTTATGTGTGTGCTTTCGGTTTCCAGATAACACCGCATCGGGGGCGTGCACCCGCCCACTCTCTCTGTAAATCAATTACAATCTCCACAATACGCACTCGACCTTTGCTAAATTATTAGCTCTATTGTTCGGTTATGAGGGGGGGGAATCGATGGGACAAAAAACATACACTTTCAGGCACCAAAGCTTTTAAATAGGTCACTTGTTTAAAGAATTATTGAAATTATTTCAAAATCTATGCTCTAAATAGTTTTATTAAGCATAGTTGATTACGATTTTACTTTTTTTTTGTAGTTTTTATTGAATTGCGTGGCGCTACTTATGTTCTTAGTAGTAAAAAAGCAAAACATTATTGAAAAATTACCCTTCCGATGCCAGAGAGCTGAGACTTATGCAAATAAGGTTGCTAGCTCTTCAAGAACCTGTAAATTTGTTCTCTTTAAAAAATCATTTTTCCCATGGAACATATATTTTGAAATTGATAGTTATACATACATACATATTATTTATTAATTCTCTGTAAATTTCTCTTTATTTTGGAAAGTTGGACTGGAAAAAATTGATGTTCCTCCTACTTGTTGCCAGTTACTAACTTATTGGAGCATCTTTCTGTTGTTAAACCGGGAGCATAGGAAAAAACCTAGCCGCATCTTCCGTCGACTGATTAAATGCCGAGATCGACACCACATGACCCCAGAAAATATGCAGTTTATCTTTGGAATGACGTACTAATTTCATATTTTCAATTTGCATACCTAGGCACAGGCTTTTCTATTCAAACAAAAATGTAACTTTTGAAATACTTAATTAAACTGCTTCACAAATCGCAACGAAAAATATTTATTAGTTTTTCATTGGCAAGTGTTTTTTATTTATAAGGGTCTTGGTTTTACTGGATAGACTTACCATGTTTATTGCTTTTTATTTTTTTAAGTGGACTTTTTCATTTTTAAGTTTAAGGAAATATTTTTCTCTCTCTAATTCCAAAACAAAGTTTGGTGTTTTACAAAATTTAAACACGACAAGCAATTAAATTTCCGTTAGTAAATTAACGTGACCCTACCCTGCATAAGTATTTAAAATTTGAGTTGGTATATTTTTGCTTTAATTCATGTGTTACGGGTTTTTGAGCGCCCTCAGCGACGGTCACACTCCTCGTGTTATTCAACGTTCAGCTTCAAAACATCTGTTTATTTCGTTTAAAATTAGTTTATTACAATATGTTAAGCTTACGAGCAGTGCTGCCACGCGGGAAACACTTTTCCGTGGCCCTGGGAAATGCCGGCCGTCAGATTTCTCTCCCACCAAACTGCAGATGCATTGCCGGCTTTAATTTTACCAAATCGCAGCATTCACAGCCACAGAAAGTGCAACAAAACAGGTGGCTATCAGTGAAGACCACAAAAACTGATTCCGAGGATGCACTGCAGCGGATCTACTATGGAACCCTGGCTCCCCGCATGAAAATGGTCAAGTTCTTCTCGCTGAGCACCAGCCTAGCCGGTTTGGCCGCCCAGCCCATCCTCCTCGAGCAGGGAATGAAAATTGGAGGAACCGGAATGGCCGTTTTCCTTTGCACCGTCGGTGGGTTCTTCACCTTTGTGACCCCACTGCTGCTGCACTTCATCACCAAGAAATATGTGACGGAACTGCACTACAATCCCAAAACGGAGGAGTACACGGCCACCACTATTTCCCTGCTCCTGCAAAAGATCAAGGTGAGTGAGAGGATACCGGTTTTAAGATCCAAATAACATCAAATTTCCCTTCCAGACGAAATTTCGACCTGGCGATGTCGTCGTTCCAGAAGTTCCCGGCATGTTCACCTCGTTTGTGGTCAACAAACGTCCGCTTTTTGTGGATCCCGTGCTATTTGATGATCCCGAACACTATGTGCGGATCATGGGCTACGACAAGCCCATCGATTTCAAACTGGATTTAAGCCCAAACCCCGAAAAACCCGCAAAGACTAAGGAACAGCAATAAAATAATGTTCTTTCTGCAGAATAGCATGTTTTATTTATAAAACAAAAACCTTCGTAAGGGAAACAAGTAAGTAAGTAAGAATAAAAAATATTAAAAGGCTTCCGCGAGCCTGGATGGAAAGATTTAAGCTCGACATCCTTCATAGGGTAAGTAAATTAATTATTTTATATTTAGATTCTGTTAATAATTAAGAGGGACAAAAATTAAAGACAGTAATTGTCTGGACACGGATAAGGCAAAACTAGAGAGTATGCTGACTTGAAGGGTTATATACAGGACGAAAAAAAACTATTTTTTCTATTTTTTAATTATCTGATATTTTGTACACATATGTTATAGTTTAACTGTTTTAAGACTTAGTATTGGAATAATATTTATTTGGAAAGGAGCTAAAGCTTATCTATATCTTTGGACTGGGTTCTCCGAAATAAAAAAAATAAAGAGATGTCGCTAAAGTATTGTCAAATCTAGTAAGTAATGGAAGGTATAAGCAAAATAAAGTTTTTTGACAAATTGGCGGTTTCTCAAACAAAAAAATTGATTTTTTAAAAGCTTGTCTAATAGCTTATCTTCGATTAATTACTAAAAAGTACATTTAAGAAGCTTGTGTTAAAAATGGAGACTAATCGGTTAAGCTGTTTTTTATGAGTAAAACGCGTTTAAAGTTTGTACTTGTACATGCAAGGACTCCGTAATGCCTTTAAAAATTTGGGTGTAACTTTGAAAATATTCACCGGGACGATATGAAATTCTCAGTGTGTATTCTTAAATATATGTACATTAATTAAATAATATAAAAATAAAATTCATTTTATCGTCTTTCTGTATATAACCCCTTAGAAGAACAAAAATATATATCTAGTACCGCATCCCAAATATAAACTCCATATCATCTGGATACATGCAGTCGCGGTCGCGGCACTTGATGAGCCGTCGCAAAATGCGACAAAGTCTTGAGGAGTAGTCCCGCCTCTGGTCCACGGAAAGGGCCTCCAATACATTAGCATCTGGCACCAAGTAGAACGGGAGGAAACCCAGGCGAAGGAACATCGCCAAATAGACGAGTGCCTGCGTGGAGTAAGTAAATATCGAAGTGAAGCATAGAAATCAAAAAAACTCACTCGGATGAGTATGCGACCGGGTGATTGGTTCCAGTTGATCTTCTTTTTATTGGCGGCATTTAGAAAGACACTCTTGATTGTGTAGCTGAAGATCATGGGCATATCATTCGCATTTCGCAGAGCTTTCATCAGCCTTAATCCATCCTTGAGATTCTGCTTCTTGCTCAGCACCATTCGCTCCCAGTAAGGCGCACAGACGATGAAGGATAGCGGATCATCCACAGCACTGGGGGATCGATATTTACAGGGAGCGGCGTACCAGCTGCGATGCCCATCCCTGAACCGTGGAAAAACCCGAGGCCACTCCGATCCAGCGAACTTAAAAGCGGGCACGAAGTCAAAGCAAATCTTTCGTCCGGGATCGGATAAGCAAGTAGCCTTAATTGTGTGGGCTATATGCCCACCGCTAACGTTCTTCAGCTCGTAGGATCGCCCGCCTTCGCAACGGATGTTGTTCAGCTGAGGGATTACTTCGTTGATGTTGTCCCGGAACCAGGACTGCACCTTCCGTCGGCTTATGTAGTATTCTCCATCTCCCCCGTTTACCAAGTTGTGAGGAATATTAGACCCGCTAGCCCGTAGACGAACATAGCTACGATGATCTTTCACAGAAATCGGTTCTACTTCACATGGCAGCTGGACAGTGGTCAGCAAATCGAACTCATCCGGCAGATTGATCCGGACATCATCCAGATTACTACCTGTCAAGGCGAGACCCCGGAAAGCCGAGGCGAAAAAGGGATCCAGGCAGGATATGGCCCGGACGAACTCATTTTCAATTTGCTGGGCATCTTTCTTGAAAGTTTGACGATCCTCGGGTTCGATGGAAATCCGATCAAGCACCAATTCAATGCCTTCCCCAAAGCTTAAGGCTTCAGTATTGTGATATTCCACAAAGCTTTTCATTCTTACCTAGTTTTAATAAGGTTGAGGACCAAGTATTTTTTATTTAAGCAACAAGTCTTAACTCACCGATGCATATATGTATATATATATATTTTTTCGTATTTTGTTCAGTCTATCTTCACTTAAAGCTTTGTTTAAATTCTTGATCAAAGCTTCTAAAATTTGTCAAACACTTAAAAAAATGAAGAAGGGACTGCGAAAAGCTGAGAAGGTTATTTCTCCAGGAAGCAGGGTCTTTCAAAAACGAATAATTCCCCGAAATTACTTTAAAGTTTTTTGGGAGTTTGGAGTGGCCAGATTGCTTATCGGTTGCGGTATGTTCGGTATTATTTTTGTGTCGAGCAGGTATTTTCAGTTGTACCAGACGCGGTCACACTCTTATTTACATCGAACATATGATGGGCACGCCGGAATTAAAAATAATATTGGAATTTAGGTAAATATTTCTATATTTAAAATGATATTTTTAATAAGTTGAATAAACTCGCAGTGCAGGAGCAGAGCTACTCTTTGGAAACATTAAAAAACGCCAGATTGCCTTAGACGGAAGTCAAAAATGTAAGTTCTTATGAATTATAAGTTTTAAAGATTGGTTATAATCTGTAAATGATTTAATCTTTAAGGGACCATTGCAAATCTGCTAAAGTGGATGCATTCCAATATTTTGACAGAACGACCGGAACTCTTCCTTCAAGATGACACCGTGTATGTTGATTCAAAATTATCATGAGGAGGATTTATTTATTTTATTTGTTCACAGACGACCTGGAATTTTGGTTCTTATAAATGACACAGATTGGGAACTTCTGGTAAGTTAAAGATTCAGGATTACAAAACTACTAATTTATAAATAAATTAATTTCCAGGGTGAACTTGATTACGAGTTGCAGCCCAACGATAATGTTCTCTTTATATCTACATTGCACGGCGGTTAATAAATAGTACTTAATTTATTTTTATAGGAAACACATTAAATTTGAACCGAAAAAAGCAAAAACAGTTTGAGTGAATCAGAATTACGTCCCTTTACCAAAAGAGGCAAAGGCCCACACGAGAGTTCGGGAAGTAAAGTTTTCATCATATCATCTAGAGATTGTAAGTTAGCAAGCTTCCCCTATTTATGCGAGCATTTCGCCGAACGAGCACTTGGGAATTGTAAGGTGGCCAAAAATAGAGCACCTCAACTGTGGCTTGGCGGGACATTTGAATAGAACAGCCCACGTTCGTTTTACATTGAAGCAACATTTATTGATTTTAAATTTTCGCTTTTACTTATCTATCGATTTAATATAATGTTTAGTTTTATTTTTTATGTTCGTTTACGATTATTCTAAATGTAGGCACTTAGGTTACATATCAACTAACTGTACGTAATGAACTTCGATTTAGATATTTCGGGCATCGGCCACGCCCCTTTCGGGTGCTGCACATGGCTCCCATCGTTCCATCGTTGTGGACTAAGAACTATATGTATGTATATGAAATATGCTTCGACATTGACACGCTGAATTCAGTAATTTCAATTGAATTTTTCGAAAAACAAGGCCAAATGGGAAACGCAGCGATTATGACAAATTAACGAAAACTATAAAAGTAATAAATAATAAATAACAAAAATAATGAAATAAAATTAGCGATCGATCGTGATGATGATGATACCATCTATCTGGATCCGATGAAACCGTTCTGCTAAAGCTATAAATGGGGATTCCCATATATCTAAATCTAGATTCGATGCTCCATGAGCTGCTATTTGCCGCCGTCCGGACTGGCCGATTCCGCCGCATGGGCGTAGGATCGATATCGCCGCAGGATCACCGTGGACGCACTGGTCGTTGAAGCTCCGGACGCCGTGGTGGTGGACGTGGACCAGCTGCTCCGGCTGCTCTCCGCCGCCGAGGGCTCCTGATCCGGGCTGACGCACATGTCGGACACAATGCCGCTCTCTGAATGGGGTGGATATTTACACACATTGCATATTATATATCGGATGAGAACACATGACACTAAAGCGGCAAACGCAAACAACATAGAACAACAAACATGCAGCACTCGACACAGGCACGGATTGTGGGTTAGGATTTGGTGTTTGGTGGGGATTATATACAGTAATACTGGGGGATTTCTTCGAGATTATGTACAGGGATCAACTACTAGCTACGGGGTGCGTCTAGAAGAAGTAGCACAGTTCAAGCTCAATACCCATGGACAGCTGGCTGACGATGGTGGTCGATCGTTTGTGGTGTCGTTTGCTGTTTCCGAGTCCGTTTCCGCTTCCGTTTCCGCTTCCGGAAGTGCTGCCTCCCTCGGCAGTCGTTTCCGGCCCCTTGAGTCCTCCGCCACTGTGGGATTTGCCCAACTTCAGGGCCTGCGTTTCATTGATCAGTTCCAGGGTGGCACTGCAGTTGGTGGAGCTTGTGCTGTGTGGTCCGGGCAGCTTGCCAAAATGCAGACTATGCCGGCCACCACCGCCATCGTGGTGGCCCGACGAGGAGCCACCGCTGATGGAGGAGCCACTGGTGGTGCTGGTGCCGCTGGACAGTGAGCTCTCCGAGATCAGCGAGTTGGGGCGCCGCATGCTGCCCTTTCCCGGCTCCGAGTGACGCAGCTTGGGAGCTATGGAAGAGATCAGTTAAACCAGATTTGAATAAATCGGTTTTGGGCATTAGACCTACTCTTGTTCAACTGCGCCAGTGGAATGGAGCGATCGCTGATCTGGTTGTTACTCGGCCGAATATCCAGACAGGGTTTGCTGCCAATGCCCATCGAGGACATCTCCGCCAGACGAACTTCTGCGAAGGCAAAGAAACTTATTACAGATGCTGCAGATTGAGGGAAACACAATCACTACGAACCTCGGTTTCGTTTCGCCTGCTTCCAGAGCAGCTTGGAGATCTCCTCGGTCCAGGCATTCTTGATATCCTCTGACATGCACTGCAGCATCCATGTGTCGTCTGGCTTTCGTTTCCGGAACCAAATCTCAAATTTTGT